ATTGAGACCAAATGTGTTTGCTGGCTCCTTTTTGTTTTGCCTTGCTTTAAATACAAGGACAGATGTGGCAGTGGGATCAGTGTGACTGAATCGTATACTTTAAACTGTACTGTAAATCATACTTGAACTTACAAATGGGAAGTGGTTGACTCATCCACACCAGTTTATTCATTGTTTTTTTATTGTAGTTGAGTTCCAGATAGTTCCCCAGTAATGGTCTAGGGAACCTCCTAAACACTAATAAGCAGGATTCTAGAATTGCAAATTTAGGAAGTGAAAATGAGTTCTGGGGTAAGAAATATATCCTGGCTTGTCAGAAGGAACTGAGGCTTACAGTCTACTCATCATTACATTTTTAAAATTTGAAGGCCAAAATTACTTTCGTTCCACTTTTCAAGAGGACTGTTTACAGGCCTCTTACCTAATAATTTTTTATGTCAGTTCTCCTGACTTTTCCAATCCTCATCTGTAACTGAAGGGGATAAAAGCAATTTGCAGTTGTGTTGCAGAGATTGGTGGGGGAGTTCCCATGAGAGCATTATGAAAGGAAACAGATACCTTGAGCAGACTCAGGGCTTCCTCAGCCTCTCTAGGAGCACACATAGGACAAGGACATGGCCTTTCTTGAAGCCTCATAATTTCACTTCCTCCATAGGTTTGCACCCCTGCCCTTTCTGGGAATCAGATGGATTTGTATTTGCCACCCCCATACTGGGTTCCTCAAAATGACATCTCTACCAGAAACAATTCTGCTTCCCCATGCCATGATGTACTGGCAGCTTACCTTTACCCATGAACTGCCAGAAGACCAGTGCAGGAGTTGGATGGGATACTGAGGAAGAAGTCCAGGACATGCTTGGGTCCTGAGCAGTGGCATAGGGAATTCTGTACACAGATTTCTCTAATTGAGAAATCACTTTTCTATTTAGCTTGACATCCCCTATATCCATTACACATTGTCTCCAGGCAAACATAGTTCCACCAGGAATTCTTCATCTTTCACTTTCAGACTTAAAGTTCCTTAAAGATGAGTCACAAGTACTTGCTGACTCTCCTCAAGGGTAGTTATTTTAATCAAAGTAGCCTCTTAAAAGAGGGGAAATATTAGCACTCATCATCTGCTCATCTTGAGAGCACAGTGAAATGAGGACTTAAGACAAACCAACAGTCAAGAATAATGATTACATTATTAAGGTCATGTTACAGGGTCAGGCTCCTCTATGCTCCAGCCAGGTGGCCTTGGAAAAGCTATTTTTCTTTTATCAAAGTTAAATAGGAAAATAATGTTCATCTTTCATGGCTGTTGTGAGGGCTGACTCAAACCACACACGAAGGGTGTAACACAATGCTTTATAGAGAGAATGTGCTCAATTCTACTGGTAAATTAATGGTTATTATTAGCTTTTATGCAGTCGTGATATTATGAATTGGTTTTTTAGTAGGTGCTAAATTGTATTTTGTTTTCATACTACAATGACGTGTCTTATCTTTTTTTTCTTTTTAAAGGTTTATTGAATTCAAAATGTCTCAAAAAATCCATGGCGGTTCTGTGGTAGAGATGCAAGGAGATGAAATGACGCGAATCATTTGGGAGTTGATTAAAGAAAAACTCATTTTTCCGTACGTGGAATTGGACCTGCACAGGTAAATCAGTTACAGTCATGTGCAGCTAAACAACAGGGATATACATTCTGAGAAATGCATCCTTAGGCAATTTTGTTGTTGTGCAAACATCACAAGAGGGCACTTACACAAATCTAGGTGGTATCACCTACTACTCAGCCTGTATAGCTCTGTAAGGGAGAAAAAATAATTTTCTCTCTACCCTTTAAGATTCTCGGCTGAGACATCCCGGTAATAAAAGACAGGTTAACAGGAGAAAAACAAAAGTTTAATAATATGTATACCTCCTGTATACGTGGGAGCGACCCAGGAAAACTGAGTAACTCACCAAAGTGGCTGAAGCCACACCTTAAAAACTCTCTTCGAAGACAAAAGACATTGGGGGTGAAGGGAGTCAGTTATGGGAGGTTGCCAGGAAGAGCATTGTAAAGAAGGGAAAGGTGTTAGGCATATTTAAGTCTTTCTCTTCTGCACTGGTAAATTTCTAGAGATCAGGTAATCCCCCTCTTCCTGGTACAGCAGGGGAGAAGGCCTTACAAATGGAGATTTCCCTTATGAATGTAAATACCTTTTACAAAGGGTAATTTCTACTTGGTTTTCAGAGCTTCTCCCATGTCTGCTGTTTCTTAAAGTTTAAAATTAACCACCATGAAATAATTCTAATGCCAAAGAGGCATATTTTGGGTGACAAATTCTGTTCCCCTACAGCTCCTAGGCTACAAGCCTCCACTGAATCCCGTAGGCAATTGTAGCACGATGTTAAGTATTTGTGTAATGGGTTGAGCTACAAGGGCTTAGAAGTCGGTAGGTGATGGGAATTTTTCAGCTCCATTCTAATCTTATGTTATATATGTGGTGCGTGACTACAGCACCTAGCAATCGACATGCTTTCAAGGTGTAACTAGCTTTTTTACATAGATATAGCTATATCTTGTGAATAAAGCTCTTGGGGGAGAGTATCTAAATATATGCAAATGAACCTTCTATTTTAAATGGAGCCTTGCAAGAAAAACTGGACTTACTGTTCAGAAGACAAGAAGTATGTTAGAAACATGATTTTCAGGTCTTTCCAAGCCTCTGTTTCCTGTCAAGGTTTTATTTGGAATAAATCAGTGGCCAAGAGTAGGGCAATTGTTTGCGGAAGGGACTATTTTCTATCCCTGTACTTAACTAGTTGAGGGACCTTTTGCCCTTTTCATGCAATTCTAGTACAGAAAGAACCCTTGAAGTTCTTTACTACAACCCTCACCTTTCAGTCAAAGTTCTCTTAAATCATCTGTGTCCTAAAGACTTGAACCTTTGCCCTGTATGTAAGGACCTGTTATATTTGCTTGGGTGTAGACATTTAATTTCCAGGGTGTCATTAGACATCCTTTTAAATTGTTCTAAGCCTAAGCCTTTGATAATGTCTATATTGCAACCATGAGAAGGAGCAAATGAATACCTACATACGCACATAGGAAATAAAGCATAAAAAAACCCGAAAATCGTCCAAGTGGGTTCCCAGTGCATTTTATAAGCACTCTCCTGTTTCAGAACTTTACATGGCAATAGATGAATATCCAGAGTTCTTTGCAGTAGAATAGCTGCAAAGATGCTTTCAGCCTCTTTAGCCTAGAGACAGTTTTAAAGGATAGTCTTTAGGCTTAAAAGAAAAAGAATCGCTGGCTACAGACCCAAGAATTTTTGGAGGCTCAGACAAGTTTTCTATTTTGAAAAACAAAGCCAAGTGCATTTGTTCATTTCCTGCATTTGAAGTACTCCTCGATGACATCTTTGGCCTGAGACTCTTTGCCAGTCCTTAGCCACCACGCCAACTGCAACCAACCACTGTAAGGGGTTTTCCCTCTCTGTTGATTTTACAGAGGCTTACCCACTCCCCTAGTTTCTTGTCATCAACCTTAATTAGGTGGATTTGGTGTTCAGCACAGAGGGCTTCCATCAACTTGACGTAGGTAGGTTCCTCGCAGTTGGAGGCAAGCACACAAAGATGGGCTTGGCGCTTGTCTAAGGCTTTGGCAGTTTCGTGAATTCCACGTGCTAGGCCGCGGTGGATGAGGGCGGTCTTCAGCACTTCTCACAAAGCAGTATTCACGTCCTTTACACCTCCAGCTGCAGTGCCTTCCTCTGCCCTGGCAGTGGGTTATGGGTGGAGCCAAATCTTGAATGCACCCAAGCCTGAGCCTCCCCGATGCTCTGCAGTGGCAGGGGAAAAGCTCAAATGAGTTTTAAGTAGTTCCAAAGTTGCTGTTATATACTGGTTCTTTATGAGGGGGGTGGAGCAATTAATTTGTTTCGTTTTCTGCAGGCTGGACAGTGGTCCAGGCCATTTGTTCAATCTTTCCTATTAGAAAGCAAAAAATCCACTAATTTGCTGGGAGGTTCTTCTGATGAAAAATGGTTCCTCTGAACATGAAAACTGCGGACCACATTCCTTGTTTGAGTTAGGAATAGACATTTGTAGCTACTCAGCATCCCTACACCAGAAGATAAGGGAGTCCGTGGCTTTATTTCACTTCTGTGAATTATTTAAGGTCAAAGCAGTCTGAAATTTTTATTTGGAAATACATCAAGATTGCTACCTTTGCGTTTGCACCATGAGTTGGGATATCTAAAGACGGAAAATACAGGAACTAAAAAGAGCTATCTAGAGGTTTCATGGGCCAGCAAGTTTTGAAAGCTGAAAAAGCTTTTTAAAAACTTGGAGAACAAAATAAATTGTCACGTGACTGTTTTGTTTCCCTATTTTCAACAAACGATTTCATATTTCACATAAAGCCTTATAATCAGGGTCTATGCTCCACTGAACAACCAACATTCTTTTCAGCTCTGAATAACTTGCAGTCTGGGCGTTGGTATGTATTAAGCTATAACTCTCTGGGGTATGTAAAACCGTTGATTGATTCCATTACTTATCCAACAAGCTTTAGGGTTGTTACCAGAACAGAGACTTGCCCAAGAATTAGGGAAAATTTCATCATATGACTAACTGGCATTTAGGAAAGAGTCATTAGCATTTGGGGCACAATCACATCTATAAGCCCACAACTACTAATGCCAAAATACCAAAAAAAAAAAGAAAATTCTTTAAAACCTCTGACAGCTCTATTTTTAGAGCACAGTATTTACTAAGGAAAAAATGAGGTGGTGCTTAAGCATACATTTTTATGCTAATTGTGTGGAAGGAAGTCACCCAAAGGGTTGTTCCAGAGCTGTTACTGCCCCTCTACGGTGAAAGCAGGCAAAAGAGCAGAGCAGGATGGTTTCCATTCAGTTTCCTTCTAGACAGCTTCCTGATGCAACACAAGGAGCTGTGTGTGTGACCCAGCAGTCCAGTCTCTCTTAGTGTTTTTTTTAGTTGGCAGCCATCTTTTGTGTCTAGGGTGCACTAATGCCAAAACTTGGCAGATTTAGATATATTTAGAGCCTTCATTTTCTGCAGGGCTTGCCCTGCCTGCCATCACCATGCAGAGATAGACAGAATGGTAGCACCCTCAATCTTCTGTCAGTTTTTCTGGAAAGTTCCACTTATGATTTTTTTCCTTCCAGCTATGATTTAGGCATAGAGAATCGAGATGCCACCAATGACCAGGTCACCAAGGATGCTGCAGAAGCTATAAAGAAGTACAATGTTGGCGTCAAGTGTGCTACCATTACTCCTGATGAAAAGAGGGTTGAGGAATTCAAGTTGAAACAAATGTGGAAGTCGCCAAATGGCACCATCCGAAATATTCTGGGTGGCACTGTCTTTAGGGAAGCTATTATCTGCAAAAATATCCCCCGGCTTGTGAGCGGATGGGTAAAACCCATCATCATAGGTCGTCATGCTTATGGGGATCAAGTAAGTCATGTTGGCATAATTTGATTTTGTGTTCTTTTTTCCTGGCCTTCGGATACCCAGTAGTTTCTGATTTGTATGTGTTTTATTTTTATCTTTTGGTGTCTACTCCCATTTAAGAAAGTGTACAGTTGAGAAATGCTTATATGTATATCTATATATTTACACACATTTAGATAAAAGGAAATGCAGAAAAACTTAGAGAAAGGCACCCTCTCAACACAAATGATTTTTTTCAGACATGTTTTTACTTCCTGAATCTTTTTATTAGGTTAAACATACGATGTTGACATTTTTGAATAGATAATTTCCTGTGGTTCAACCAAATCAGTGGTTCTCAACCCTGGCTATAAAAGGATACCTTTATAGGTTTTTTGGTGTTTGTTTTATTTTTCTTTGTAAAATGATTTTGGTTTGTTTTAATTCCGATGCCTGGGACCCACCCTGCACCAGCTGAGTCCGCATTCTGTGGGATTCAGGCATTTTAAAGCTGTCCAGGGGATTCTAATGTGCAGACAGGGCTGAGAACCAGAAAAGATATTAAACATGATCATCTTATACNGGTGGCAGAAGTTATTTACTATGGCATGTCTGCTTGTGTTAACTGTTCCAATCCTTTGCATTCTAGCTGCGCACGGAGAAGACCCCCCAACCTACCCCCACCAACACTATCACCATCACCACCAAGGCGATCGTGTGATCGTGTGCTCCTAGTCTGGCTCTTCCTCCTGCCAAAGGCGGTTCCAGATTAACGCACATCGGGAAGTGTCCTGAAGGGGACTGGTCCAGGCGCTCTGTCTCCCAATTTGCCTTTACTGCAGACCTGGAAACTCACTCAGTGTGGCCCCAGGTTATTAAGCAGGCTTGCCTATTGTCGGCGTAGGTCTCAGAATACCAGCCCCAGAGCGACCTGCTCTCAGGCCTGCAGGTGGCATTCGCGGCCTTCCACCAAGAAAATACGTAGCCGACTTTAGGGGGTGCTGCAGCCCCTCTCGCAAGCCCCAGCCCAGGGAAGGCTGTACCGGGATTAACCCGCTACATTTGGGTCCCCCTTGCCCCTCCCACTTCGGAGGGTCGGCGCTCAGTGATTGGCGGCGTGGTGGGGGCGTGGCTCCAGGAGGTGGGCTGAGGGGGCCGGGCCGGGAGGAGACAAAAGCCGGGAAGAGGAAAAGTCTACCCCGCCTACTGGTCCGTGGCTTTCGGCTGAGGTGGTGTCAGACGCCGAAACAGCTGGGGCCCCGCTGGGATTGCCAGTGTGTGCACTTGTAAGTTTGAGCGTGTGAGTGGCTGTGGCGACCCCCCCGCCCCCCACCCCCCGCCGGCTCATCGTCAGCGTACCTTCCCCTGCTGGTAACTACAGGCTGTGAGGGCGGCCCCTGCCAGCCCCTGACTTTTGGAAAGGCTTTGGGTCCGCCACTGACGAGTGGGAAAAAGGAAGAAAGCTTAGATCTTGGGTATGGAAGGAGGAACTTAGTGGCGAATTCTGGTCTCAAGGAAGGAAAAAAAAATACAGGTATTGCACGTGGAGAGGAAAATAGGGAGGAACAGGGTGCTAGATGCCTGCATGGGTAGAAGGCCCGCTTTGGGGCACCGGAGGGTGAAACTGGGCGGCGTCAAGTTGCAAACAGTGACAAATAGAAGCCCAGGTCGGCATACAGAAAAAAATATCGAGCGGTGGGGAATTGCAAGGACACGTGGAAGACTAAGTCTTGGGTTTTGAGCAAAGAAAACATCAGGGAGGCAATGGAGAACTAAATGCGAAGAAACGTGGAAGTCGAGGACCTGGGCGTGTGCAGCAAACTCAGGCTGCAGAGAATCGGAGTGCGGCAGGGGGGATGCGTCGGGGTGGATGCGTCCGCCTGGTGGGCGTGGAGGAGCGGGGCTCCAGCTCTGAGGGGTGTTCGCTGGGCCACCCCTTTGTGGTCGGGGCGGAGTGGGGAGTGGAGGATACCGCCGCCTCCGCGGGGATTTCGAGTTCTGGAGAAGGCGTTCCCTGGCCGGCTCCCGGCGCCCGGGGTTTAAAGGTTCGGCACCCGAGAGGGAAGGGGCGGGCCTGGGGACCTGGAGGGAGGAATAGAGCCAGCTGCGGTTGCAGGCCTCTTGCACAAGGGCCACAAGGACATATGCAGGCCAAGACTCTGCCGGTCACAGCGTCACCCACGGACGTGCAAACCCCAAAACCAGCTAACGGACGACAAACAGGGGACGCAGCCTCCAGTGTGTGCTGGCAGAGATATTGGTGCTCCTGTAACCTTTAGTTGCAAGGTGCCTACGGACCTAAAACTGCCCTTTGCTCCTGTGGGTACACTCCGCACTGTACTTTAAACGAGATAAACCCCGCTATCTAAATCCTGACGTGAGCAGTTTGTATATTGTCTTTCTATTCCGTTTGGTTTGAGATTTTTTAGGACGGTAACTGCACTCAGGTGAGCCTGCAAGATTGAGAGGAGTTGGAGTGACTAGAAGTTGATTCACTGTAAAGGTAAGAATTAGCAATTGTCTTCCCTTCTGTATTTTCTTTGGTGTGACAATACTGCGTTTAATTGGTCTTAGAAATCTTAGAGGTAGGCGGAAGCATTGCAAGGGAATGAGTCAGGAATATTTCCAGCAATAAATTACAACTGCTTCCTTGTTTCTCTCAGTCTAGCTAGCGCCTTCTTTGCAGGGAACTATTTTTTATGCCCAGAATAATTTGTAGTTCATGAAAGCAGCTAAAAAAAAAAAA